CATAAATATTCATAAATTTAATGTATATCCAAACAGCATAATATAAAACAAAATCATTCAAAAAGTCTGTTTAATTAATAAAATAAGATGAAATGGATTGAAAAGAGAGAGGGCTATCACAAGTAGTATAAAAAATATAAAATAAAAATAAAAATACATATATTAGGCCAGCCTGAGAGGCTCTAAGGCCGAGCTTTTAAATTGGAGCTAGAGGCATTTTTTTTAAACAAGCTTTTATACAAGTCCAAGCCTGATTCCAACAATCAATTTTAGACATAAAAGCTCAGGCCTTCACGAGCCGAGTCAAAGGCCCCTGACTCGTTTAGCACCCCTAGTGGCTTCATAATCATGTTTTGAAAAGTACTCTTAAAATAAGATAATTCTGTTTACCAAAAAAAAAAAGGGTAAGATAATTCTCTTCTCTTGTACTATTGAGTATGTATTACCTCACTCTCTCATTTTGATGATATTTTTAATGGTATAAAATGTTGATTAAGCTAGACATTCAATGGTATAAAATATAAAAAATCTCTTGTTTCTAATTAACCTGCATAAGATTTTATTTTGATTAAATGACATTCCATCCATCATCTTATTTATATTTTTTAAATTAATTTTTTTTCATTAGTGGATAAATAACATGACATTTATAAAAGTACTATGAATAATTTATGTAATATATCATAATATTCCTAAAGTTTTTTGTGTTAATTTATCATAAATACTTTAGATTTTAAAGATTTTTTCATAAGTTATAGTAGTTTTATTGGTTGATTAAATTTTTTTATAACTTTTATTTTTGAAAATATGAAATACTTGTTTTGAAGATGTTGTATAACATTTGATATGATGTGACGTTACATGGGTTGAAAGAACAAACTTTTGTCACATTATCACTTAAAGACGATTTGACATTATTATGTAGCATTAGAAAACTTAAAAAGAATTAGATATTCTGAAAATCTTACATCATCATTTTTTAAAATTTTGATATTAATTAATTGAGGACGGTTATATTGACAATTTTTTTTTTTATAAACTTACAATTTATACTATGGCTTACTTATAAAACTTCACTCAAAAATATCTTACCGGTAAAAATATAATGTAATTTATAAAAGTTTGTAAACAAAAAATTTATAAATATAACATTCTCTTAACTAATTTACAAAAACTAACTTTAATACAATTGATTAGATTAGTAGGTTAAGATTGTGTTGGTCTATTGATAGAGAATAATTTTTTTATCGGAATCATGATTTTTGAAAATATTGAATTAATTTTTCTAATATTATATTTAGTTAATAATAATATATTGTTGGAAATGTGAACTAAATTTACAAAACTTATCTTTTATGTTTACTCGGCCTCAATTTTTTGGTTCTATTCACTTCCCCTCAACCATGGTGAAAAACTTTTTCTCATTCTCAATAGAGCCAAACTTTCTTCAACTGTGCAGTTGTTGTTACTGACTTTCCTTATACACAATCACAACACCAAATGGTGAAACTTTTCTTTCTTTGCAAAACTTCGTGAATAGTAGTACACAAACAAACAAATAACAAAAAGCTAGTCTATCTTTCTCCACTAGAAAGCTAGAATCTGTTGGGAAATTCGTTCCCTCAAACTCCAATGTCAAGCGGGTCCAAGGGAAGCCTGTGGCGGGGGCCACCACCAATGAGCTAAGGCTACACCAACCGTAGCAAGTGGATCCGACACCATGTCTCAACCCAAAACCTTAAGGCATTGGGTTCATGGGTCTTTTCACTTATATACTCTTCACTTAGCTCATTACCAACCAATGTGGGACTCATCACACTTGAATATCTCAACAATCTCCCCCTCAAGTGTGAAACCCACCATTGGTATGCTCCCCCTCAACCGAGTACCCGAAGCGCAAAGTACTCGACCCGCCTCCTAGCCAATCACTAGGCTAGCTCGAGCCCAATCCGGCTCTGATACCACTGTTGGGAAATTCGTTCCCTCAAACTCCAATGTCAAGCGGGTCCAAGGGAAGCCTGTGGCGGGGGCCACCACCAATGAGCTAAGGCTACACCAACCGTAGCAAGTGGATCCGACACCATGTCTCAACCCAAAACCTTAAGGCATTGGGTTCATGGGTCCTTTCACTTATATACTCTTCACTTAGCTCATTACCAACCAATGTGGGACTCATCACACTTGAATATCTCAACAGAATCAACAGATTCTGCACAGAAATGGACTTCTCTGGTTCATCCAAAACACAAACACTACCACACAAATATAATTTCTTATCTTTTCTCTTCGTTCAATACAAAATTTTCAGCTCAGAATCGCAGAACCATGAATGACTTTGTACACCCCAAATAAAAAGCCTCTTGTGAAGAAAGAGAGTTACTTATAGAGAGAACATAGAAAGGAAAATTGAAAGCTTGAGGTTACAGAAGTGAAAAGAAGAAGAAATTACAGGGTTAATTATGTCCAAAAAAATGGCTCAAGTTTCCCATACGATAGGATTCGCACAATATCATCCATTATGTGGTATTTTGAGTTGACATTCTTCTTTAGAAAAAGGAATTCCGAGAATTCATTTGGGGTGGGAAATTTTAGGTGTGCATGACAACCTTCCCAGAATCAATTCTTTTTTAATTTTTGTTCCCTGGAACAGAAATGGATAGGAAACTCGTTTGGTAAAACCGATTTTTTTTTCTTGGGATGAACCGGTTCAATTTTTGTGCTCGGGAATAGAAAAAAGAATCAAAAAATTTCTACTTTTTTGTTCCCGAGCACAAAATGAGAAACACTTATTTCTCACAATTACTCTTCACCACTATCATCATCATCATCACCATCATCATCCCGACATGACCACCACCACCATCGTTGCCACTGCTGTTGTACCACCAATGTCATCGTCACAACCATCACCACCACCAGGATGCCGCCGTCACCATCACCACCACCAACACGATGTCATCGCCACCACCTCCACCACGCCACCGTCAGCACCACCACCACCATGCCACCACTACTAGCGTCGCAACCACTGCCGTCACCACCACCACCACACCATCACCACTGCCACTGCCATCACCGCTGCCACCTCCACCACCACCACCATTACCACTATCATTGCCACAGCCACTGCCATCACCACCATCACTGCCGCCGCTGTCGCCACCACCATGCCATCACCACGTCATCGCCACTGCCACACCGTCACCAACCACCACCACCACCATCGTCGCAACCACTGCCATCACCACCAGCACCGCCATGTCATCACCAACACCACCATGCCACCACTACCACGCCACCAACCACCGCTGTCGCTGTCACTACCACCGCCACCACCACTACCATCACCATCGTCGCAGTCACTGCCGTCATTACCACCACCATATCATCACCAACACCACCATGCCACCACTACCATGCCACCAACCGCCGCCGCCGCCGCCACCACCACCGCCACTATCGCCATCATTACCACCACCATCGTAGCAACCACTGCCGCCACCACCGCCACATATAAAAAGGAAATTGATGATCCAAAAAAAATTATGCTTGATAGGAATTATTTTTTATTATATTATTTGTTGTGTTATCAAACGCAATTCTCATTCTCAGAATAAAAATATAACATGTTATCAAACACATTTTTTTCTCAGAAATTGTTCTAAGGCACAGAAATAGAAAAGAATTGTTTCTTTTCAGAAACAGTGCCAGGGAATAGAATGGTTGGCATGCACACCCTTTCTGTAATTCTTATACTAAATTTGGATAAATTGGATTCCCAAACTTACTTTCCCAATATTCTAAAATTTTTCCTTCTACCAAACATCCCTTAGAACCAAAGAATTATAAAAAAAAAATATTTCCAATTTTGGCTATGACTTTTTCACAGATTAGGATATATTTTAATTTTAGAACGAAATAACCTTCTGTTTCTTTTAAATTGATTAAGTAGATATAAGAAAAGAAAAGTTCAAGGCTCCCAGAAAGATTTTCAGCATTAAGGATCTTTCACAATTATCGACAAAGGTTAGTGTATTTAACCCTAAATTATGTGAAAATAATGAATTTCTAAGATGTTGTTTGTGTAGTTTTCTTGAATGACAAACCTTAAGATGGAAGATTTAAGACTAAAAATCAATTTAGTTTCCAATAATTTTGAAAATATTTATTATTGATTACATTTTTCATTATAATAGTCAGACAATTAGAAACCTCAGATTTCTCCAAGAGAGACAGACAATTAATGAATAATTTATAATTTAACTAATCAGGACGATTCTCTTAATTTTTTTAAAAAACTTATATTATAAACTATTTAAATAATATTTCAACCGGTTTATCCAAAAATAATAATAATAATATTTCAGCCAGACAATAACTTAAAGCACAGAATTGGACAAAAAAAAGTAAGTGTATAAAAGAAATAATGTAATTAAAAAGTGAAAGGAATAGATAATAGTGATGCAAAAAGGAAAAAAGAATAAAAAGGAAAGGGAGCAGGTTGAGAAATGGTACAAGTACAACCGCTGAGAGTGTGGCCCACCAACGTAACTGACGCCCACCATCCCCTCATTCTCCAAATGTATTATGTAATGTAACAACTCTCATTACTCAACTCTTCCCTTCCTTCCTCTTCCTTTCAGATCATCATCTTCTCTACTTCTCTTCTCCTCTCTCGCTCCAATTAGGGTTCTTCTTCCTCTTCTACTACCACTTCCACGTAAGTAACCATTCTTCTTCTTCTTCTTCCATTCATTTCATTTACACTTAAGCCTTTATTATTACTCCCAATGCCATGCTTCCATTCATCTTACCACTTTCAACTGTGCACATGGAATTCGAATAATAACACGCATTGCACAGGCACTTCCGTTTCTGTTTCCATGCTCAATTGTACAGTGAATTCTAGTTTCCACTCGTTTTGCATTTTTTTCTTTTTTTTTCATTTTTTCTTCTTCATGTTCCCATTGCTCTTACTCTCGTTTTGTAGAACAAGAGTCATGACTACCGAGCTTCTTCAAATCGAACCTGGTGAACTCAGATTTGTCTGTCAGTACTTTTTTCACATTAATGTTCTTTCATTCCCTTTTTGTTTTTTGAATTTTACATTGATTTGCATAATCGCCTTTTTATTTTGGTCTACCTTTTCGCATTATTTGTAATGATGACAATGTTGTCGCTCTCCTTTTTCCTGTAGTTGAATTGAAGAAACAAAGTTCATGCTTGATTCAACTTGGAAACAAGGCTGATCAGTATATTGCTTTTAAGGTACGATTGCTTTTTCCGTCGTCTTCTCTTTCATTCCCCACTTTTTCTCTAGTTTTTTGAATGGTAGAAAAATATGCAGTATTTATTTATTTTTCTCATCTCTCTTGACTCTAGGTATAGTGTTTAATAAGCAAAATCACTGGACAAGAAAAATGTATCTATAATTTACAAATCTGCTGGCAGGTAAAAACAACATCACCAAAGAAATATTGCGTCAGACCCAACATAGGCATCATCAAGCCAAAGGAAAGATGTGATTTTACTGGTATTTTCCCGTTATCTCCTTATTCAAGACTAAATTCAATTGACATTTTTTTTTCATTAAAAAATATAGTTTCTACATTTTAGTATACTTTTTCTTAACCAAGTAAGAAATAGACCGGCACAATGGAGAAAAACTATTAGCATTATGAAAGGGTAAAAAATTTCTCTGTTTTTGTTTATTATTTATTTTTTCTTTTAATTTGGATAAAAGTGAGGTTCTTCTTAGTATGATTCAACTAACACATTAATTGTTTCTTTCTTTGTTGGATGCAGTTACTATGCAAGCTCAGCGCACAGCACCACCTGATATGCAGTGCAAAGACAAATTTCTGATTCAAAGCACAGTTGTCCCTTTTGAAGCTACAGAAGATGACATTACATCAGATATGGTGAGGTTATATTATTTATCTGATTTCTCTCTGTTTCGGGATGCCTGGGTTGTGATACGTCATAGGTGGGAAGGATTAAGATTTTGTTCAATAGTCCAACTCTTTTCTGTTTTTGTTGAATGACTTTAAACTCCTCCTCTTTCAACAGTTTGCAAAAGATAGTGGAAAGTATATTGAGGAGAAGAAAATAAAGGTAGTCCTCATCAGCCCTCCATCGTCTCCAGTTTTGCTTCCAGTAAATGGCGATGTGAAGCAGGATCCATTCAATGAGATTAATGTGCAAAAAGATAGGGTGCCCAGTGGAATTGAAAACATACCTCCCCCTCTTAGAGTGAGCTCCTCTCCTTCCATCATTCCCCTTTCAAACCTCAATCTCTCTCTCTCTCTCTCAAATTGCTTTGGTTATGAAGACACAGTAGCCATTTTCTGTGGAAATATATTGTAGTATACTACGAATAACAATGCTAATCTTTTTTTTTTTTTTGTGTGCCTGTCAACTATCTGATAGCCAACCCATATGTGAATCTGAAACGTTTAGTTCAACATGTTGGTATCATACAATGTTCTGTGCCATTGCTTGATAGATAATAACTTATTCCGCCATTATTTATTTCCTTGTACCAGCTTTCTGAGGAAGTTAAAGGTTTGGAAACCACCCAGGATATGAGGGAGGATAGAACAGATGAGGATATTGTCCCAAGACATGCTGAGAATGTGCGTGACATGAAACCAGCAAAAGATGATGTGCAGTTGAATTTAGCTAATGATACTGAGGAATTGAAGTCAAGGCTTAATATAATGGATTCAAAACAAAGACAGGTTAGAACTCCTGAATGTAAATAAAACTATATGTCACAGTAATTTTTATATCTACTTTTATAGTCAATGTTCCAGTTATACATTCTCTCACAATGTTTGCTGCCAAAATATATGAACTTGACTATGCTACTATCTTAAAGGAGCAGAGACGGAGAATATGAATTACAATGTTTATTTTCAAGCTATCTACTATTTGATAACTGAGCATGTTACTGATCTATAAAAAACAAGGATGAGATAATATCATCATACCATATTGTTTTACTTCTCTGTGAGTGAAAAGGGGGATGATTGTCAACTCTATCATCTTCAGTATCATTGAAGCTAACATGTTTTTGTTTGTTTATTAATCATTGCCTAGAGCCATAAGTGCCATAAAAGGTTATAATATGTTTATGCTATGTCATTGTGGTTTACAAAGATGTTATCTCAGCTTATGGTACAAGTCCTGAAGTCAGTTCCTTTTGACTTCTTTTTTTAACTTCAAAGATGTAAGCAACCAAAATAAAGTTATAATCTTTGCAGGCTGAGGTAACCATCAAGAAGCTGAATGAGGAGAGGCGCATGGACACTCAAGAAAAAGATTTGCTTAAGAAAGAGTTGGTAGGTTTTTTTTTTTAATGTATGTCCATGTTATAAGTCTAAAAGCTGCATGAATTTTGTTTTTCATATTCAGTAGTCCTTTTTGCAAGCTGAATGGAAACAGTTCAGTTGAGGCAATACAGTTTAGAATAATAGAAAGTAGGAAGGCATGGAAAGCCCATTAGATCAATATTCTTTTATTATGGTCATTGGTTTACATCTTGCCTCCACTTTAACAGAAGTTGCTGTCATTCGCAGCCTGATGATATATCAAATTGGGTCTATTATATAGACCAAGATTTACAATTGGTTACATCAGGAAATCAGCTAAACTTAAGGAACAGAAAGCATAAATCAAGCTAATCTATTTACATCAGGAAATCAGCTAAACTTAAGGAACAGAAAGCATAAATCAAGCTAATCTATTTACATCAGGAAATCAGCTAAAACTAAGGAACAGAAAGCATAAATCAAGCTAATCTATTTTAATATACAAGGTAACAAACCGTGATAGTTACAATCAGGATCCTAACAAATTAATGCTACTCTAATACTCCCCCTCAAGGTGGAGCATGGAGGGAGGAGATGCCCAACTTGGAAGTCAAAAAATCGAATTGTTTGGATCCAAGTGCTTTGGTCATAATATCTGCGGGTTGAGAACTAGTGGGGATATGTTGAGTAGAAATAGTCTTGCTGAGAAGATAGTCCCGAACAAAATGGCAATCTAACTCGATATGCTTGGTACGCTCATGGAACACTGGATTAGAAGCAATATGAATAGCAGACTGACTGTCACAAAACAGTTGCATAGGGGCTGCATGAGGAATATCAAGAGAGCTGAGAAAAGACTTTAACCAAATAAGCTCAGAAGTCGCAGCTGCCATGGCACGGTATTCAGCTTCAGCAGAGGAGCGGGATATTGTGTTTTGCTTCTTGGTTTTCCAAGAAATAGGAGAATGTCCAAGAGTAACAAAATAACCAGTGACTGATTTTCGAGTCAAGGGACAACTAGCCCAATCCGAATCACAATAGGCACGAAGAAGAAGATCACTGTCAGATCGAAGAAGGAGTCCTTGGCCAGGATTGGACTTAATGTACCGAAGAACACGAATAGCCGCATCGTAATGTATCTGCATAGGATGCTGCAAAAACTGAGAAAGTGTGTGAACTGCATAACTAAGTTCTGGTCGTGTAATCGTGAGATATACAAGACGGCCAACAATACGTCTATAACGTTTAGGATCATCAAACGGAGGTCCTTCAGCAAGAGCAAGCTTGTGATTGGGATCCATAGGATAAGCAACCGGTTTACAACTTTGAAGTCCACATTCCTTAAGAATATCCAAAGCAAATTTGCGTTGAGTAAGAAACAAACCGGTCTTGCTTCGAGCAAATTCAATGCCAAGAAAATACTTGAGGGGACCAAGATCTTTGATTTTAAACCAGGTTTGTAAATGAGCTTTGACACGGTCACAGAGAGAAGGATCACTACCTGCCAACAAAATATCATCTACATAGACAAGTATAGCAACATAATGGGAACCAGTCGAGTAAGTGAACAACGTATAATCAGCACGAGACTGAACAAAGCCGAAACTGAGGAGAGAACTACGAAGCTTAGCAAACCAATTTCGTGGGGATTGCTTGAGACCATAAAGTGAACGTTGAAGCTTACAGGCGTGACCAGACTTGGTTTGGGAGAAACCGGGAGGAAAACGCATAAAGACTTCTTCATCCAAATCGCCATGGAGAAAGGCATTTTGAACATCCAGCTGAAAAATGCTCCATTTTCGAGCTACAGCTACAGATAAAAATGTACGCACACTTGTCATTTTAGCCACCGGTGCAAAAGTCTCAGTGTAATCTTCTCCTTCGATCTGATTGTTCCCAGCAATAACCAGACGCGCTTTATAGCGTTCAATGGTTCCATCAGAATTGTACTTGATGCGGTACACCCACTTACATGGAATAGCTTTCTTACCAGAAGGGAGAGGTTGAATTTGCCAAGTATGATTGGCTTCCAATGCATCAATTTCGGCTTGCATGGCTTTCTGCCAATGAGGATATTGCATAGCCTCTTTAAATGATTTGGGTTCCAGGTTACTATCCACGGCGGCAAGAAAAATCTGATGGTGCGAAGAAAATAATGCATTAGAAACATAATGATCAATGGAATATTGAATACCTGAGTCGATTGGAGAAGTGGAGAGACGAGGAAAGGGTGTAGTCATTGTGTTGCATACATAATCCTTTAAATGAGATGGGGGACGTCTGGCACGCTGTTCACGAATATCTGCCACAGATGCAGTGTTGGGTTCTGTCAACGGAACCGGTGAACCAGGGACATCCGTGGATGAAGTAATAGAACCCGGAACTGGGGAGGACGAACTCCCCCTGTCATCAAGCTCCGCTGTGGGAGTATCAATAGCAGTAACAGGTGCCACATCATAATCGGTGAAGACAGCTTGTGGTGACGGTACATGGACAGAAGGTGCAGATGAAGTTGCAGCCAATGGAAAAATAGTTTCATGAAATAAAACATCACGAGAAACAAATATTTCATGAGTGGAGATATCCATGACCTTCCATCCTTTTTTGTTGAAAGGGTAGCCAACAAACACACACTTACGGGAGCGAGGAGCGAACTTGTCATGTGGTTTGGGTAAAACAGTAGTGTAACATAAACTCCCAAAGACCCGTAAGTGATCATACTTTGGTGGAGTGCCATGCAAAACTTCATAGGGACACTGACCACCAAGGAGTGGAGTCGGTGTCCTGTTGATGAGGTGAGCAGCGGTCAAGATGCATTCTCCCCAAAGAGATATAGGTAAGTGACCATCAAAACGCAAAGCACGAGCCACGTTGAGGATGTGACGATGACGACGTTCAACGCGTCCATTTTGCTGTGGGGTGTAAGTGCATGATAATTGATGATGAATACCGTAGGATGAGAGAGCCTCTTGGACTACAGATGACAAAAATTCAGTCCCATTATCACTCTGAATTCGCTTAACAGATGCATCATATTGGGTGCGAACCAAGTGGAGAAACCGAAGTAAACATGTGGAAGTTTCAGTTTTATTGCGCATCAAAAAAATCCAAACATGTCTACTAAAATCATCGACTACAGTTAAAAAATAGCGGGCACCAGTTGTAGATGCCATATGATATGGCCCCCATATATCACAGTGAAGTAAATCAAAAGGATGTAAACAACGTTTATTATTAATAGGAAAAGGACTTCGTGGTTGTTTGGCTTTACAACAAACGTCACAAGGAGCCAAATTGTTTGCATTGGAAATAAAAGGTAACAAAGATAAATAACGGGAAGATGGATGTCCTAGACGACGATGCCATAGTGCTGCAGAATCTGACGTACTGGCAACATGAGCAGAAGCTGATGATGCACACAATATATACACCCCTTCTCGTTCAACACCCGTTCCAATCGTCCTCTTCTGCTTTAGGTCCTGTATCAAACAAACAGAATTAACAAACAATGCCAAGCAAGACTGGCGCAGAAGCTGAGATACAGAAATCAAATTACAAGCCAACGAAGGGACATAAAGAACATTGGAGAGATGAAGAGAAGAGCCCAAATTAATGCTGCCACATTGCGTAGCAATATCATGAACTCCATTCGGCAGTCCCACAGAACAAGGAGAAATAGAATGCACATTGGATAGATAGGAGAGTGTGCCCGTCATGTGTTGGGATGCACCACTGTCGATGATCCAAGATGGGTGTAAAATTTTACCCGTAAGTTTATCAACTGGAGGGGCAGAAGAGACAGCCAAGGACATGAGATGTTGTAGAACTTCTGGTGTAAAATCTGCCATGGAGATGGATGCTGATGACGGCTCAGAAGGAACCGAAGGCAGAGAAGTATGAGCAGCCCAATTTTCATAATTGGATTGTCCACGGAGGATGACCGTGGTGAGAACAGCACCAGGATTGTCGGATGGGTGCAGGTAAAAGGGTGACTTAGAATCAGAAACCTTGAAGGTTTTAGGTGCGGAAGTCATGATGAAAAAAAAAAAAAAAAAATGAAGGCTTGTTGATCGTCAAGCTCTTGATACCATAACAGAAGTTGCTGTCATTCGCAGCCTGATGATATATCAAATTGGGTCTATTATATAGACCAAGATTTACAATTGGTTACATCAGGAAATCAGCTAAACTTAAGGAACAGAAAGCATAAATCAAGCTAATCTATTTACATCAGGAAATCAGCTAAACTTAAGGAACAGAAAGCATAAATCAAGCTAATCTATTTACATCAGGAAATCAGCTAAAACTAAGGAACAGAAAGCATAAATCAAGCTAATCTATTTTAATATACAAGGTAACAAACCGTGATAGTTACAATCAGGATCCTAACAAATTAATGCTACTCTAATACACTTACATCTTTTCACTTGCTCAAGTTTGAAAACAGATAAACTAGAAGGTGAGTGATTCTTGTTAAAGCATCAATATAAATGCTTAAGCTGTCAAGTGAAGAAGTTTTAGGCTTTCAGGATTTGAACTTCTTTAATTCATCACTATAACTCCCAACACCTTTTTTGTTTGCAAGTGCAATGGAACTGTAAGGTAATTAACTTGCTAGGAACTATTATATGTTACCCATATTAGCAAATTATTGATCCGTTTCAATGAGAGGAAGATCTGCATTTCCTGTCGTTTACAATTGTGGGGTGCTCTTATTCAGATTATCATTAACAGTTTTCTGATTGGCATTACAAACCAAATGTGGGGGTATATGTTGAATATTTCATCTCTTCTGTTTCTTCAAAGCAATGCAATTATGTTTCGAGCTATTGTACATTTATTCTTGGTGATTGACTATCTTCAATATTTGATATTAATTTTTTCATGTTTTGTCAGGAGGTGTTAAAGACGAAAATTGATACGAAAGGAGTTCAGGCTGGCTTTCCATTACTGTTTGTTTGTATGGTTGCTCTTGTCTGCCTGGTGGTCGGATACTATATCCATCCATAAGGGAGAAAACTGCTCTTGTAGGATAGGAGACATTCTCAAATCATGGATTTCTCCGTAATGATTAGAGAGTATGGTTCATTGTTTATTATGATGGTTTCACTCGAAAGATGTTAATATGTGATATGGGAAGCTTTGTCAAATGCATGTAAAGTGAACTACGCCTTTCAATAGAAGCATAATAGGCAGCCTTCTGATAATTTTTTTAACAATAAAGTATTAAAGTTTTATTGAGAGAAACACAAAGTACAAATACTTTCACACACTTGGTATAACGACCATTTTGATTTATACTCACTTTCACTATATATTCTCTCAAGCTCACTTTCACTCTACATTCTTTTCTCTTTTTCTCTTTCTTCTTCTTCTTCTCACTTGTAGCCAAGAGCCTTTGCTCCTATTTATAGTTGTCTTGTGAGATCTCTAGATTCTTCTACATCTTCCTTCAACTTTATGAGCTCTTTAGATTCTTTTATTTGTTTCTTCATTTTTCTTTGGATTTACAAGGTCTTTAGATTCTTCTCTTTATTTCTTTATTCTTTATTTTTCTTTGTTCATTTGTGAGCCAATTCTAGAAAGATTAGTCCATGGAAGTTTTTAGAAAATTCTACTGAATGAAGGAGAGTAATTATGCTCATTTTAATAATTTTGAGCCGAATTCATATGCCTGTTCATCGACTTTTCTGGAAATGCTTCCCTTAAAATCATGAGAGAGGGAGAAAGATCAGAGAGAGGACACTCTTCGAAATACCCTTTTGAACTCTATAGTTTCTCGTAAAGGAGAAATTGCAGCAACAACTACAGGACTGGTGTTGTTGTTATTGGCATGTGGATTCAATTTGGTCTCGCTACCTAGGCGTGTATGCTAACTAGTGCACGAGTATTTTGCACTATTATACTATTTTTCTTATCGTAAGAGGGGAGAATTATATTTACAAATTTTTTGTTTATAAACTCTTACAAACTACACTATGTATTCCCAGAAGTAGAATTATATGAGTTCAGCAGTGCTTTATTTTTATGTTATCTCCTTGTAGGAGAAGAATTATACGATAATTGCAGTTAAAATTATAAAATATTATAATAGTACATACTGAACAATTTTTAGTTTTGTACTTGAGTGATTATGCTCAGATAGATCATAGATCTATCCGCACATTGTGACTATTGCGAGAACTATTATGCAATGGGAAACATCAGAAGCAATGGTACTATCATTTAGAATATCATGGCAAAACAAGTTTTACAAATTCAAAACTCACAAAATTATTCTTAAAAAAAAAAAAAAAAACAATCAAGCAACGTAAAAACTATTAACTATCAGGATTTTTTCATCCAAAAATATGAATTACCCGACAGCATCGTACAAGCAAGAAACTAGCAACCCCCTCTACCTAAGTCAGCAAAAACGTGGAAAAAAAATGTGTGCCTTCCCTTGTGCAGACAGAAACGTGTTTAAATTCCTCCTATAGATTTTTTCTTTCTTTCCTCGTGTCTTTTTCTTCTTTTTTCTCTTTTGGTATCCTATGAAGTTGAAATCCTCAAACTATTGACGAAAATGCACAACCAAAGCCGAGTTTATACCATGCCCACACGATTTATCACATATCAGTATATTCTTACGTGTTGAAATGAATCTCACTCAACGCCACTGATGAACACTTTGTTCAAGGGGTGAACCTGGAACGTAAGGTACAAAACCCCGCCCACCAAAGAGAGGTCGCATGACAGAATCATCAAATTTGCGCCAATAGTGGTGTACCCCACGACTAGGAATGTTTAGGAGCATACGCAAGCTTCTTGGTCGAGCCCCATTTTGTGTGCCACCATTGGGCCCTGAATCGTGTCCATTGCCGAGAAGTGGCACAGTGAATGATTTGGGGCTCAATGGTGGGGACGGTATGCTGATTATGTGTTTGTCGGAAGGAAGCAATAACCTCACAAGTGGCTTAGTCATCAACCCAAACACCTGCACATTTCAAAGTTGAAAAAGACTAATTGGTGGCTTTTTTATTTGGGAAAACATTATATATCACTAGTTGTTTATTCGGGTTCAACAACATCATAAGCAACGAAAGCAACTAGTGATATGAAACTACTAAGCATTTGGGTTATGACATCAAGAAAAGTAAGTGTCTAACCACTGTGCTGAAGAGTACGACAGTGATAGTACTAGTGATCATGATGGCATTCTCGCTCAATTTAGTGTGGCCTAGCCTGGTAAACTGCACGAGAAGAAACATAGTTCATTACTAAGAGTCTAAAACAGAACTGCAGCCGTAGAGATGTTGAATTGAAAGCGATGAAGTTTGATTCCTTCACCTGATTGTAAGCAAGTGCTATGGAAACAGCTCCACGCATGAGACCAGCCCACCAAATTGTTACCTGCGACGAAACAAAATCATTGGAGGAATGTAATACACCAATTGACCAAGTTATCAAGACCCTCCTCAAATGGAAACGGGAAAATACATACTTGTTGCTTTAACTCAATTTTCTCAGATTGAGACTTCTTAGTCAAGTTGGATAAGAAGGAAAGTGGGAAAACAAATGCAGCTCTTCCAACTAGGATAAGTGCCAACAGCAACGAACTGACCCCAATTGATTTTCTCGGGCTAATGAAGAGACCAAAATATTAATTTCACATTTCACAAAGTAATTTCAAGGCAATTTAACTCCGTCTAGAAATCTTTTACCTTTGACTTACAAATCTCCACTTCTCTATATCTAGTGCATCCATTCCAACATAAAGGAAGATAAAGATCTCAGCAATGAATGACAAGGTAGCAAAAGCATGCCTGCAGCAGGGTCATTAAAATACGTGGATTAATTGCTTATGTAGCAATGTTATAAAGTATAAGAGAATGAAACATGAGTTTTTCTCATTTATAAATGGCACATGTGTTCGAGAATTTTGACGTACTTGGTTGTCACTCTTGAACTTTCAGTCACATTATGCCACGTGTAGTGAGACATCACAATGCCGCAGAAGAACACAGTCATAATGGCACTTAAAGAAAATAGCTGCAAAAGAGAAAAAAAAAACATGATTATTATCGAAATTAGTTACATTGAAGAGGTGGCCTAGTTTTAGAGAAAAATCTTACTTCAGCTAACATGTATGAAAGGTAAGCCATGAGTATCATGAGAGCAACCTCACGGTCTGTAGAATGCCTGGCATTTGTCAGAAAATGAATTAGAGAATCTCTAACAATGTATCATCGCATGTGCTAAGATAATTTCTGCTATTCCATTGCATTTTTTTGTTTATCCTGGTTCTGAGGTATTAATTGCAGTGATTAAGAATAGTGAAAATTAGTGGAATTCTCATTTTAACCTTATCAACTTGCCAAAATAGAGCTTTTTAATAATGTATGCGCTAAGCAATCCAGCCTGAAAAACATTAATTTAATCAAGAAAAAAAATTATTATAGTTCAAAGCAAACAGCAGAAGAGACAAGGGAACAGAATTAGGAAAGTTTTGAGAAAAACTTACTAAGATTCCTAGCACAGTACTTGCGATGAATAAATATAGAAAATTTTCTATTAACTGTAAAGCAGTGGTTAAGTCTATGTGGGAGAGGTCAAATTTCTGAATTGCATGGAAGAGTACTACGGAGGTGGCATCATTTACTACTCCCTCCCCAAAGACCAAGCTGTAGAGGAAAGGTGTCTCATCCTGATTAAGAACCTTAAGCATCCACAGAGATATATATGATCAGTTAAAGAACTGTTTGGTAAAAGGAGAAAAAAGAAAAAGAAAAAAAAAGAAGGTTCGAAGTCTTTCTATTGAAATTTATACCTGCAACGTGCAAACAGAATCTGTTGCTGAAAATATTGCTCCAATTGCTGCATTCAGTAGTAGACTCAGGCAAGAAGAGATTGATATTGATGGGAAGAAGGAAATATTCCAAATTTGCAGATAAGTCCAACATACAACTATAACCGAAGGAAGTAAATTTAAACATACCCAGATAATCTCCAATCTTTAGGGAACCAATGTCCAATTTCTGGAAAAAGTGTATTGCCCCTAGTCAAAACAAATAATATTTATTACAAAAAATTGACATGATTTCTCAATCGAAGATTCAAAGAAAACAGGCAATGAACAACTTTTCTTGACGCTTGAATTAATATTTATTACAAAAATTGACATGATTTCTCAATCGGGGCTTGAATTAATTCAAATTACCTAGTGATATGATGCAGAATGATATCAAAGTACCAAATGCACCAAAGAGAATTATAGTCATAAAATTGCGGAAAAATTGTTTCTTCTTGACCTGAAACCTGGAAGAGACAAACAACAATAACAGAACAATTGAAGTGAGAAGGCAGCAATTGTTAAAATATATTCATATTGAAGTATCAGTATCACTGTATCAGTATAATGAACTCACCCGGCATTGAAAATGATGGGTGGGAGAAGGTAAATAAAGAAAAGATCTTCGCTGAAAACTAATATATGGGAGCTTTTTCCTCCAGTTGTGAGCAATATAAAAACCCCACTACACAGACCCTGCCATCGTATCATATCATATCATTCCATACACACACACACACACAAACACACATAAGAATCTAAAAAATCTCAGAATAAAACGCATGTTATTAAGGAGGTAGATTAATGAAATACTCACAATGAGAAGGGCAGTGATGGATTCATTAATCCATCGATTCTCCTCGAGCAAATGACCAATAATGATGCAAGTGCAAAGAAGAGCAACAAATAGGTTCATTGAGACCACTGAAGCGTGATCAGAGGTCATCACTGTCGTTAATTTCTCGTATAAAGCTCCCTCAGCCATCAGATTAAAAAACACAGCCAAAAAAAGTGAAACTCAAACCTTCACTTCACTTCACTTCAGCTTTGCTTTGCAGCTGTCACAATCCAACTATACAGTTAACTACCCATGAATTAAACCTCCTGATGTAAAAGCTAAGCATGAATGAATTGGCACCAAAATGTTCTTGTTTTGTTACTTAGTTTGCATTTTATAAACTTTCCTTTCTCACCAACTAAACAACACTTAATAGTTAATACTAGACTTTTAAAGTATAGTATAGTACCGGTTAATAAGCAATAAACGAATGTGATAAGAAGAAAATGAAGAGTTACAAAACACTGCTTTAATATGAGAGTGGGAGGAGTGCAACGAACAAATATATATACAGATTCCTTTGAACTGCTGAAACGATTTGATTTAAAGAGTGAAGTGTGATTTGGACTTTGCAACGTAGGGAACACTTTCTGGCAGTGGAGGAGTGAGACATGAGTTTGCACTCCAGGGCCCACTTCCATCATTTTGTCGTTTTAACATCTCCTTTTTATTGTTTAATTATTATTTTAGTTATAACAAATAAAAGTTAAAAAAATCTCTCCTTTTTTTTAAGGAGATGTTAATTTTAAGACTTTAATATGGATAAATTATATACATTTATTGCTAAAAAGATGTCATTTTATGTTAAAAGATTAAAAAATTATAATAATAAAAATTGTTATAATTTTAGAATAAATTGTAATTATAAAAATATCTTAATTTTTATCCCAAAATAACGTTATTATTCAATACAAATAATTTATTAACAATCGCAGCAAAAAAAATAACCCTAATTTTAAAGTTAATAAGAGTTTATTACATGATATAAAATATTAATACAATCGATCTAAATAAAAAAAAGAGTGATATAATATAACAGCTAATTATTTTCTGCAATCCAAAATAACATTATTTTAAAATTTGGGATAAAAATTACAAAGTATTTTTGAAAAATTATATTACAAGAAAAAAATAAAAATTACAAAATATCATATATATTTTTTTAAATTTTAAAATGATGTAGTTTTGAAATTAAATGAAATATTTTTATTTTCTTTTGAGCAATAATAAGTAAAATCCAAATGATATAAGTTAAGATAAAGTGTGAATTGAAATTAAATAAGACCAATTATCATTTATTATGAAAAACAAATTTGTAAAGATTTAGTTTTAGTTTTTTCCATAGAATAAAAAAGCTAAATAAAATAAAAATAATAATTTACAATGAAAAATAAAATTGTCAAAATAAAATTTCTATTTTTATAAAATAAATAAAACGAAATCTAGAGTAATGTTCAATGAAATGACAAACTGCAAAAGTTTTAATTTTTTTCTTTAAGATAAAAAATGAAAATTAAATAAGTTTACAAGCTCCCTTTACCTCGATCGCGCCTGATCACTTTACTAACAGGCTACGTCGCTTTTCATGTGACTGCTGATGGGAAAAGTTACAGCAAATTTTTAACACTAGGATACACGTGCGGATTCTATCAAAAAAAAAAAATCAGGATTCGAACACGTATCCTGTGTTGCTGCACTTTTTCTCTTCTGCAGTCACGTAAGAAGTCTTGCTAATATTGTTTCGTCCGCTTTTAGATTGAGTCCCTCCGCAGTGAGCAATATATTCTTGAACTCTCTATCAATCTCTGAATTCCCTCATTTGCTTTTTTTTTTTTTCTTTTCTTCATAGAGCCCATTTGTTTCGCATTCTACAAAAAGTAATTTTTATCTCTTTCTTATTTTAAAAATACTTTCTATAAAAGTTAAAGTTATTTATATTTTATAAAAAATATTTAGCTTTTAAAAAAAATATTTGACTTTTGACATCTATTTTTTTAGAAGTTAAAATTTTAATTTATAAAAAAAGTAAGTTTTTAATTTACGAAAAAAAAGTAAGTTTTTAACTTTTTTTTGTAACTTTTGCTTTTTGTAAAAATATACTTCCAAACGAACTTAAAATGAGAAATATTTTTTTTTTATTGAAAAAAATAGCTTTTAGATAAAAAAAATTCATGCAAACGGGTCTTTATGGACCAATTCTGAATCCTTAAAATCAACAGCAACAACCCATATACATGAGAATGAGATGTTATGAGTCTAACCTTGATTGTCTATATAATAATTGTGAGATTTATAAAGTCTCAGACACTTTCATGCTTTGAGCTAGTTTTTGGAATAATAATATCAAGATCCATAACTTGCAAACGGATATTGTTGTACTAAATAGGCATTGTGTGTATAAAATCTTGAACACTACTATCATCTTTTATAAAATCTTGAACACTATCATCTTTTGAACTAGTATTTTAGTAACTTCAATGTTCGTACAAGAATCAATGACATAAGATTGTAAGATTAAGCAGGAGCGTAGGACCTTAGTCCTTAAATTCTGCTTCGCGCATGGGTTATTAAAATGAATCACACATGGTGAGTGAGTCCTTTACATTAGAATTAAGAGTGTCATGGAGAGGTGGGATTGTACGGACTCCATCATAATTTCCACAGCCCTATGACCAATTTCATTATAGAAATAATCCCATGATTGCTGCCGTGCATAGAAACAACACTACACTTGGTTCCATTTATAATTTTATATTGTTGTAGGGGAATCATCAACCATAATCATATGCGGCTGCATAAATGTTTGCTTTAAGTTTTAAAACATAAATAGTAAAATATCTTCAAATATCAACTTCATATTATTTATTAATTACAGACAAACTTAAAAAAAAAAAATCACATCAATATTTTTTAGAATTCTCAAACTCCCCTTTTAATACTTTTTTCCTCTTTATATAAAAAAAAATACTAAAATAATCTTCTAAAACATTTGTGTTTTTATAAACTTCAAATCATATTTTCACTTTTGGAAAACCCCAACCATGCACTCCCTGGTCAGCAGGACCCACTCCCTCATCCTTGTTCCTCCACCAAAATGCTTTGTTGTTGTGGGGTTTTTTTTTTGGGTACATTATTGTTGTGGGTTTGAATTCCTCCACAAATTGTTTTAATTTTTCTTTAACGGATTTGACCTAATTATGGTGTTGGGGTATATGGCTTATTAAACAACGAATCTTATTTGGCTTTGCTTAGCATAGATGATGGAGTCAGCATAATTGCATGAATTTAAAGGCGTATTTGTTGGTCAATCTGTGACATGGACCTCTTTTAATGATGCCTAAAATGCTGGGTCGTCTTATTTTATTTCTCCACTTTGAAATTAAATTATTATCTTACTTCAAAAGTTTGTAATTATGTACTTCCTGGGATTCGACACAGATATGTTAAAACCATTAGGTTATTTCAAAGTTTATGTATAAAATATTAAATTAGGAAAGAATTAATTTAAAAATAAAAATTTTACATTCAATCTTAATTATTGATTTTATTTACATCTAACTCTTTACATAATTAATAAATCAGAACCGTTTTATCCACGTGAAATCAACTATTAATGTGTAGGACTTATACTGATGTAAGTTATTATTCCCCATCAAATTATTTTTATATAAATATACAATTTAAATTTAAAAATTTTAAAAATCATTGTAATATTTCTTTTAAAATTGTTTCACTCTAAAGGTAAGTGTTTAGATGTTAACTCGTAACAAAGCAGAAGCTAAAAAAAAAAAACAATTATATTTTTTAACTCTTCTAAAAAACCAAAAATAAATTGGTAAATATTTTTTTCAAAATTATAATTGACCCAAATTCTAATTCCATTCACCATCGTTGCCATCACCACTATTAGCGCCACCACTTTGTAATATGTCATTGCTATGTCACCGCCAAGTATTATTATTATTATCCCAAATCTTCCTTTCATATTTTACTTTTACATATTTTTTTAATAATTTATAAGGTATTTTTTTAATATCCAAACACTTTTTTAATTAAAAGTATTTTTCAGGTATTATACTTAAATACAACATAATTTTAATTTATTTTTAAAAAAAATATTAAAGAAATAATACAATTTTTTTAAAGAAAATTCGTCCAATTGGGCTTTATCGCTTGCTACGCGTTGTGTAATTTCAAAATTCGGATTGTAATTTGAAGTAAACATGAGATGTCATTGCGTAGATCTCGAAAAGTTATGTGAAATCAAAAAAAGAATTACCTCATTTGGATACCCGAGTCAAAAGTTATGGCCTTCAAAAATTTTATGATTAAATTAATTTATTTTTTTTGAAAAAAATGACACGTGTCAACACCTGATGAGAGACGCCTCATTCCCTTAGGGTGAGACGCCCCCCATGGGGCGTCACAAGTAATGCCCAAAAAGGGCGTCACATTATGCAATAGATCCGTAATTATTTCCAAATCTGTAATAAATGCGTAATTATTTTATTAAAAAACATTAAATTAATTTTTTTTTGCCGTAGAAATCATTGTTGAATGGACTAGGCCCCAGGACCAGGTAAAGGCTTTTGCTGCAATTCTACATTACTATGATAGTTATCTATACTTTTCGTTTGGTTCACAAAAATCAATAATGTTTTTGCTGAAAACATATTTGTTTTCAGTGCATTATATATGTATACATATATAATGGATAACCTGTACTCTATCCTATATCGGCATTTCAGGTATTTGGGATCTGCCTCGGCAGCTTTCGTACCAAGATTGCTTGCAAATGACGCATGTTTGATGCAACTTTAGACAGTTATTCACTTGAAAGCTCAGTATTCTAAAATTTGAACATAGCTTGGACAAGAAATGGTTAAGGAGAAAGCTAGAGAAGCCAGATTGTGTTTGCTGCAACCCCGTTGTTAGTTCCTAGAGCAAATGCATGTTGCATGACTTTAGAAAGAAAACTATGAAAATATATGTCTTCATCTTTTTTCACAACAGAGGCGTGAACCTTATTTATTTATTGACAATGCAAATTCCCTTTCCGTTGGTTGATGGCTTCTATATGAAGTTTTTAACTTTTTTTGAGTCCAACAATGATTATTTTAAATCTAAATATTAAATATAGAAATATCTTAGATTTGATAAGTGCTTTATTGTTTGGCACTAATTAAGTATAACTAGTGTGTCCAAATATTTCATATTAAAGCAATACAATTTATAGCACTAGCAGTATCCTTATCACATTTTTCCTTTGCTCCTATCCAAACCAAAGAGACATCTTATATTGAATACGAATCTGAGCCCGCATCTGGTAAACTAGGGATCTAAGAGCAAAATCTAAGCCGAGACTCAATATAATTGTTGCAAAACCAATTATGATATGATAAAGAGTTATATACAAAGCATAGGGAATATGCAGATAGAGTGGACTAATGAAAAGGAAATCGAAAGACAACAAACGCTAGCACCAAAATTTACCATTATATCGAAAGGGGAAGAAGTAGAACCAGTGTTACTTGATTTTGGTATTCATACTAGAAAATGGCAGAAATTCTGCATGGCACACTTGAAGAAGTAACAGTTAACCACTACAGCAAGTTCAGATGCAGCTTAGGGAAGAAATGCAACAATAGTTCTTTACTTGAGGGGGAATGAATAATTTTTTTTGCTAAATAGCATGAGCCAATGAACAGGTACATCAGCCTACGATGATAAGATGCAAACCAACAGCCTATGATTAACTATCGCTAAACAAAATGCTTTAATCCAGTGATAATCAGAAATAGTCAAAAGGACTGCCAAATTGCCAAAATATCAGTAACACACAGGAACACTCCGATTTTTTGAAGGCAAGATAATAACAATACAAAGACAAGGCAAAAATCAATAAACTTCAAACCTATGTTAGCCGGAACCCTCATTAACAAAACCTTCCTTGCGACCTTCAAAGCCAGGCCGCAAAAGCTTTTTCTCTCTCTTTGCAATTTTCCGCATTTTCTTCTGATGACTCCTCTCAGCTATATTTTCTGACCTTTTTTGCTGCTTCTCTGCCTTCAACTGGTCCCTTGTTTGAACCCTCTCCTTCCACTTCTCTGCATTTTTCTGCTGCCTCTTCTTCTCCTTGTGTATGCTTTTTTGTATCAGTTTGGGATCATCATGGACCTTAATCCCTGAAGCTCTATTCATTGCTGCTTTCCATGATTGCTTTTTAGCAAAAGCTTCAACTTTCTCAGGATCTTTCTTCTTCTCTTCCTCCAACTTCTTTGCCTTCTCAAGTTCCTTAAACTTTGAAACTTTTCTCTTTTTCTGCCCTTGCATTTCCTCATTCAGAAGTTTAACATGGCCAAACACAAGCTCCTTGGAAGCCTCGGCAGCATCCTTCTTCACTTTCTCCGCTGACTCATCAGGTGCAGGTTTACTTTCATCAGTTTCAATATCCCTCTTACGTTTCTTGTCCTCATATCCTCTCCTAACACTCCTCTCCTCCCTTTTCCTAGCTCTGTCCGAATTTCCGGCAGAGTTACGACCTGCCCGAAACCCTTCAAGTTTGCGATGAAGCCTCTGCCTAAGTTCTTCATACGTCACAGACCTATCATCTCCTTCAAGACCTGACATAAAAGGCTTAACCACACCCTGCTCTTCATCACTGTCATCAACTTTTTCTTTTCCCAAACTTTGCTTGAGCAGGTCAAGTGTAGTTGCAGAAGGTTTCTCAGGGTCTAAACGGTCTCTACGAGACTTCTTAATATTTTCCTTAGTTTCTTTCTTTGCCACAGCTTTTGCAGCCTTACTTAGACCCTGAAACCATGGCTTCTCGTTATCATCAGTTGGCAGATAAAACTTGGCAGGAATGAGCTCAATCAACTTGTCAAAGAAAAGGGTATGCTCATGGATCACACACTCCAAATCTTCACCACCATCGGCCTCTGCAACAGCCTTTTGATTCTTCTTCTTCATCTTCACCCTCATCACTTTGTAACTACAAACTCTCACTGTAACAATACGAACAAATTTAAGAGAAACGCATAACCCTTCCCCTACCCTTTTATAACAAAATAAAATTCCACTTGAGTACAAAGCTTGTGCAACAAAGTCTTGAATTTGATATCCTATAATAATAGTTTCTACCAAAAATTAGACATCTGGTTTTAAAGGTTGTCTTAAAGTACCCCAAAAAAACGTAAATCGAGAAACTCGTACCAAAAAATTAAAATATATCCAACATATATATAACCAAAACACACCAATACATAAGTCATCACAAATTTAATTCCAAACACCAAAGGAAATAAAAATTCATCACTGCACCAATACATAAGCCACTAATTTCACACGTCCAGAAGCTCATCACTGCACCGGAATGCTCTATATATCTCCAAATGTGTCGTGAGTATAAAAGTGATATTTTATTAAATTGAAGGAGTAATATTGATTTAGTTTTGCTCAACACCATGCACTCCGTTTCATTGTCAACAATAAAATTGAAATCTTCCTATTCCTTTACTGGAATAAAATTCTCAGTGGTTATATAGAGTGAAACGTACAACAATATCAAATACTTTAGGAAAATTCAATATTTCTTTTATTATAAATAAAAAACTAGATCTGTATTAAAATTAAAAAATTATAAAAATTCAATATTCAACTATATCAGTATGAAAGGATGGTGGCGCGTTAGATTTGAAGAGGATATATATCACCAATCTGTTTAAAAAAACTCGGTACTGTACGAAAGCAAAAAAGGAGCAACAAAAAATGAGCAGCGATTTTATAGGAGAACTGAAGAAGCAAGGATGAAGAAGTATGTGCTCTGAAGAAGAAACAAGAAGAAGAATACCTCGCTTTTATAAAAGAACTGAAGAAGCAGCCATTTTTGTTGTTTTTGGGGGAAGAACCAAGCAAGCAGGAACTCAGCAACAGCAACGCGCGACGTTGAATGAGCGGTAGGGTTTCTTTTTGTTTTAAGTTGGGGATGACGTGATTTGACAAAAATACCCCTTTTTAAAATAAAACAATGAGTCAACTCGGAAAACTCGCCAAGTCTACCGAGTTCACTCACCGTTTTAACTGATTCGACCCAAAATCTATTTTAACACGTTTTTGGTCATAGAAACGTACGTTCTGACACTAAGTTTTTACAATAGATAGAATAAAAGCACCAATGTAAAGATTTTAAGTGCCTGTTTGGATAGGCTTTTGTTTTTAAAGAGTTGCTTTTTTAAAAAATTAAGGGTGTGTTTAAAAGTATTTTAATTTTTTTGTTTTCAAAAATTGTTTTAAATATGAATTTTAAAAACTGATTTTGAGAGTAAAAAAACAAAAAAAACTTGTTTGAGCGTAGTTAAATTAAAGTTATAAAGAAGTTGTAATTATTTACAAAAAAAAGCCATTAATAAAATTTAGAATTACAAAAATAACATCCAATATTTACGAAACTGCCATTAAGAAAATTTTAGAATTACAAAAATGCCATCTAATATTTACGAAACTGCCATTAATGAATGCTGATAATTACAATTTTTCCACGGCCTAAAAATAATCGCAAACAGCGCCGGAGAACATCCTCAAGTTGTTTTGGTTTTCTGGTTTTAAAAACAAAAAAAGAGTCATTGTTTTGGGAAGCATTTTGCAAAACAATTATTCCCAAACAGATTTTTTTATTTTTGTTTTAAAAACTTAAAAATTGTTTTTAAGAACAAGAATCAAGCAGACCCTAAAGTCCTTTTGAGAATTTTTAGATGTTTGGATAACAAATTTTTAAAAAAGCAAAATTTAAAATAAAAGTTAAAATGCTGCTTTTTTATAGCCAATAGTTGATTGCTTTTGAAAAAATCAAAAATTAAAAAATAATATTTTTTTTTTGGAAAAAGATAATATAAATTTTTAAAATACAATTTTAACCTTATCCTATCATACTTATTTTATCTCTCTTTATCCCACGATCATGCTATTTTATTTATTTTTTACTGTAATTTTATATATATAAAGTGTTTTTTATTTTAACATCCAAACAATTTTTTTATGTAAAAGTAATTTTCAGATCATACATCCAAACATAAAATAACTTTACTTTTTAAAAAAAGTTATTTTAAAAAAAGCAATACATAATAAGTCATTTTTTTAAAAGATCATCCAAATCGGTTTTAATTCATAACAGTGAGAAAGGAGAAGGGAAGGATGGAGAAGAGAGAGAGAATTGAGAAAAAAAGATTTGAAATTCAACTTCTGTCTTTATTCACGGTTACACAACATTTAAATAATCAGTTACAAAGAATTTTAAAGAAATTATCTTAAAGGCTTCGGATTATCAAGTTGTCACAACTAAAATAACCCGAAAAATACTACGAGATTAACAAGGCGTCACACCAAAATTAATCCCTAATTATAAAAAATAAAATAAAATAAAATAATTCAAAATATTAAATTTAAAATAGACTTGGGTCATCAAGTTATCTTAACAAAAATGACCCAAAAAGCTAGGAGATTAACAAGGCGTCACGCCAAAATTAATCCCTAATTATAAAAAAACAAATAATACAAAATTATAAATTTAAAATAGATTTGGGTCACCAAGCTGTCTCAACCAAAATAACCCAAAAAACTATGAGATTGACAAGGCATCACGCCAAATCAATCTCTAATATAATTTCTAATCTATATAAGAAAACTTCTTATAAAACACGAAAAACATACAATAAATAAACAATTATAAGAAAATTTCTAACAAATAAAGAATATAAAAGCACACAAAAAAAGAAAATTATTAACTAAAGGAGGAGGGTAAAGAGATTTACCTCAAAGATGATCAAAACTTGGTCTATGGAGCCAAGTTGTGGAAAATCACCCCAAACTTCCTAGAAAGGAAAAAAATGTAGAGAAAATTAGTAATTAAAATTTTACTATAACCTCTGAATTACGAACTCGCCATTTTTGGGAAAAAATGCGTGTCCGACACGGACACGCGTCCGACACGCGGTTAACTTTTTGGGACACGTTAACTAGTGGGACACGCAGGTTTGACCGAATTCGACACGCGGTCAACGTATGTAGACACGTTTTGACATTTTTTTTTTTGTAAAAATAAAATAAAATTACAATTAAAAAATAAAAAATATTGAAAATTTAAAAGGTCTGAAACCTATCCTTTCTTTTTCGTTGACGTTGGTAGTTCTCTTCGTCAGTCGTCGGTCGTTCTCTTCCGGTCATCTTCTTCGTCGTCGCCTACATCTCCCCTGGAAGTTAGAATCGTGTTTTGTTCGATTGCATTGTTCCCTCTTCAACCTACCGACGACCACCGCATCCATTAGTGGGTTGCGCCACCGTCACTGTTATGAAAGAGAATGAGATGACTGTTGTTAATGCTGCTTCTTTTAATAAAGCTTCTAATGTTTATCAATTACTTTATATCCTCCCATTCACCAAAATGCCATTTCCTAACTTATAATAGTATTAATTTATGATCATTAATTATTACTCAAAATATGATTTATCATCCATCTATAACTCTTTGCTTTATTAATTATTATTATTATTATTGTTGTTGTTATTTATAGAATTGTGATAATGATGAAAATATCTGAATAGTTTTAAGTCTAAAGTAGTTATGTACCGTTAGTATATACAAAAAAAGATTAGAAAATTTTGAATTAAATTTAAATTAATAATTTGATTTTTTTTTATTATTTATGTTATGAAATTTGAATATTTGATTAGTATATGAGTTGCTACATGTATTAAATGTAAATTATATTATATATATTAAAAATATTATTTAATATTAAAACGTATCCCAACGTGTCAAAATTTAGCATTTTTTAGAATTAACGTGTCGGAGTGTCGTGTCCCGTGTCCGTGTCCGTGCATTATAGACTATAACACTAACTTAGTTTTAAACCAAATCCAAGTGTCTAGTATTTTGGGTTTTTATATTTGGTTATCTCCAAAGGGTGTGTGTTGGAAGCAGTCAAAGTGGGAGGCCCGCCCCACCCCGCCATCAGCCTTCCAAAAAATAAGTCAGCCCGCCCCGCCTCGTTTGGCGGGTTGGGCGGATTGGCCTGCCAGCCGAGCCTATTTTACACTGACCCACCTCGGCCCGCCTATGCCCGCCATGGCGGCTCTAAAAAATGAGCCCGCCCCGCCCCACTTTTGAGATGAGTTGAAAAACTTAGCCCGCCGAGCTGAGCCCGCTTTGCCATCTCTAGTTGGAAGAAAGGGGAAGAGGCTCTTTATATAGAAGGAAGAAAGGAGGAATGAATGAGAAATGGGTAATGTGAGACTTCTTAGGAAAATTGGTTTTTTTCAATATGGGTAGCCATTTTGCGACAACCATACCTCACACCAGAGGGCTTAGCTTGAAAATTGGTCCGATCAAATTAAAGTATCATTGGGATGAACATGCCGACAAAATTTGAGGAAGATCAGACGGTTCATTTGAGAGAAATGATCCTTGCAACATGGCTGCCCGAAATTGCATTTGTTCTAACAAAACTAACAGCCCATCTTTAGAAATTTATATCTGATGCTAGGAGGCGCTGTTTGAAAATTCGACCGGTCAAATTGTAGTACTACAAGGAGGGGAACATGCTGACGAAATTTGAGGACAATCCAACGGTTCATTTGCGAGAAATGACCCTCACAAAATCGCTGCTTGTTGCAAAAATGTGTAGAAAAACTGTTGCGGATTTTAATTCTTTTGGGAATGATATAGACATCTAATCAAGAAATCCACCGGTCGATATGAAGGAAGATGAGTCAAGATCTTTCTAAAAAAATTTCAGCTCGATTGGACGGTGGATGAAGGATATATCGTGGTTGGAACAGGTCCTACTCAAAGCTGTTATTTTTTCTGAAATTGCCCTCCTTCCCTTTTCCATCTTTTTGATCACTCTCTTCGTTTTTTCTTTATTGAAAGACAAAAATATGTGTTCATAACTTAAATTTTTTCTTTTTCTTTTTTATGTTTTGTATTTTTTGTCATTTTTAAATATTTGGGACAAAATTAGGTGTTCACACCCCCCACGTCACTTACACTTCTTTTATTATTTTTTTATTTCTTTCAATTGAGTGACGCCCCCTCCCATGGGGAACTCACATAATTGTGCCAAGTGACACAATCTCATTAGTTCCGTTATCGAAAAACTTCGGAAGGTCATAACTTTTGACTCGGGTATCCAAATCAGATGATTTTTTTTATTTCACATAACTTTTCGTGATCTACGCAATGACACCTCATTTGACATATTTTGTCTCTCACAAACATAGTTTAAGTTTGTAAAATAATGGAACTATTTTTGCAAATTTGAACTATGTTAATGAAAGATAAAATATGTCAAATGAGATGTTATTGCGTAGATCTCGAAAAGTTATGTGAAATAAAAAAATTATCTGATTTGGATACCCGAGTTTAAAGTCATGGTCTTTCGAAGTTTTACGGTAACATGATTAACGAAATTGTGCCACTTGACACAATCCTGTGAGTTCCCCAGGGGAGCGGGCGTCACTCAATTGAAAAAAAAAAAAAAAAAAAAAAAAAAGATGTGCAAGTGACGTGGGGGTGGGTTGCGGCACTCAGTGACATCGGGCCCTCCTCGTGTTACTAAATGATCCCATTCGTAAATATCATAAACCAAATACCAAATTCATAAATTAAAGGGCTAAAAACCCCAAATGGGTCAAAGAACCTGTATAACAGAATAGTATTATATATATATATAGGGTAGGATATTCTTACATCGGTGTAAAAGTTAGATGTCTTGTACTCAATCTTGACTATTGATTTACTTGTATCCAATGGCTCACATTTCCAAAAAATTTGAGCCCTTAGATTTAAGTTGAATCAACAGATAAGATTGAGAGTGTAACTTACACTGATGTAAAATGATCATGAACCTATATATATATATATATATATATATATATATATATATATATATATATATATATATATATATATATATATATATATATATATT